ACGCTCAGGAGGGGGAAGGCGTCTCTGCCAGCACCCCTTGCCCAGATGGCCCTGATAAGGCCCTGATTAGCAGCAAGTCTCCAGCCCCAGATAATAACTGCTTACAGTGATTAGGCTGGTAGGAGAGTTGATGAGAAAGGGAGGTGGTGACGTCTGTTTGCTGTGTTTGGTCAACTATAGAGTAACAGCGAAGCACCTGGGAGGAATTGGCTTATAGCCGGGGACTGAGAAAGGGCTCAGGGTGTAACAGTTGCTGTTAAACGGACACAGTCCACAACAAAAATACTTTAAAACCACAATTCCTTCTTCCTGGCAAGATAGAAATACATCATGTAGAGCCACTCATTCCAGAGAGGGAAAACGAGCAATAATCCCTCCAAGATTTTACAAACAGCTTCCAGTGCCAGACAGGAACTGGTGGAAGGAAAAAGAAATGCAACCGGTGCCTTCAAACAAACCCACAGAAGCTCTGTGAAGCGCAGAGGTGATGGTGTACAGCCCTCTGCCTCGCGGGGATTTGAATTCTCCCCCCCAAAGGTGCAGCTCCCAGGCTCTGATCAGAGCAGCACCCTTGGGTGCTGCGCAGGCATCTGCAGGGACTGCTTGGCAGCAGGGCACAGGCCAGCAGCAGCGTGCCACACCAGCTGCGGGGCTGGGCTCCTCCTTTCATGTTTTGCTATGAAGATAACAAGAAGAAATCTTTCTGCAGGGACAGAGGCACAGGAGCACACGCGCAGCTGCCCGTGCGCGCTGCCGCGTGTCACTGGCAGGCAGCACGTGTCGCGCTCCCGTCTCCGCACTGCCATGGAGCTACACGGCAAGATCCTCACCTCGTGCCTCTCAAGCATCGTAGGCATTCCTAGTGCTACCTGAACATACTGCTAGTAAGAGGCAATGGTCAGGAAGGAATGCGAATGAGCAGCTCAAGATAAAAGTTTTCCACAAGATGCTTACCTGGCACCTGCCATCCTGCGCCTGCTGAAAGTCTCATTATTTCATTGCAGCATCAGCCCTTCAAAAAAACTTCCCTGAACTCTCCTTCAATCACACCCACCTGCAGAAACAAGGCATTATGACTGGAAAAGCAGTGTCCCTCACAGAGACAAACAAAGCAATGGGAGTGGTGGCAAGAAGAAATGAGAGGTGGGCTGGTGAGACATTGGTGCCACTAGCCCTCTTCCCTGGAAGGAAAGATCTTCTGGGAGGAGAGAACTGCTGTTAAGTTTTATTTTACAAATAAACTTCAGCCATCTGCAGAGATTACCTGCTATCTTGTGTTACCGTCCAAGCACTCCAGCTGATAGTCCAGGGCTTTCGCTGTCCGATTCAGTAATGGCCAGAAACACGTTGTCTAAACACCAGCTGGTAGCCCATTTGCTTCAGCTACGTTGAACTGCTGCACATGGTTCCCACAGAGAAAGCACTCCCTCTCCCCTCAAACCACAGCTGTAAACAGCAAACATGGAAACGTGGCAATTCATGGCCAGTGTTTTTGATTGGGAGAGATCCCGCAGGTGACTTTCCCGTATATTGGTTGTTGTCATGGCAAGCGGAGGGGGAAGGAACAATGCAAGAGGTGGTTAGTCCTTGACACGCTCCATCCTTGGACTAACGGCAGCTCCCCAGCAAACAATCCCAACAGCAATTATCGAAGCACTTTGAAAATGGGAAAAGCAAAAACAGATTAGAAAGCCATTTGAAACCTTGAAGCTGAGTGGAAGGGAACGCAGAGCAGCCGGGGCTGCACACGCTCGGCCAACAACGTGGAGACGCTTCTCTGTAGACAAAGCTAAACAGACCCCACCCGTCAAACCAGAGCGAGTGACAAGCCTTGGGAGGCGGCAGGGACAGCACTTGACAGAATGACAAGCAGTTCTGCTTTATGCTTAGTGGTTACAACATGGAAAACCTTCCACGGAGGGGCTGAGGAGCAGACCTGCGGCCCCTGACATCGCCAGCACACGGCCCAAAGAGGGGCAAGATAAAAGACGACTTTCAAGTGCAGAATTCAATTACGCTCCAGCCCTGTGAATCACCATTCCACTGGCTGGATTATTTTCCTTCCTCGCTGGAGACAGCCCAAGGATTTGGGCAGTATCTGCAACCTGGGAATGGAAAAAAACTTTTTACTGTTTCAAGAATGGCAAGCATTTGTTACTGAGTCAAAGCTTTATTGTTTCCAGTAGTAAAACACTACATAAAAGTTGTAAGAGATGGAGACGAGAACAACAAAATAATAAAAGAACACAAACGACCCGAGCAGACTGAGCACTATTCACTGAGCCCTTCTTGCCCACCTTAAACCAACGAAAAAGGCATTCAGCTGGTACAGGTTTCGGATAATATTCCAACCAAAGCTACAAAACACAACCAAGAGAGATGCAACAAAGAGAAAAGTGGTCTTTAATAGGAAATATATGCACAGAGCTGTGGATGTTCCTCTATCACACTCATGTGGGAGATCACCTTCTCCTGGGCTAGATCCTTCCCTCGAACCAAGAGGAGTCTTTCCATGGACAATCGAATGGTTCTGGTTCGAATTCAGGTAGAATTAATCCATGGAGGTAAAATATGGAGATAAGAAAAAAAGGTTTCCAGTTTCACTGGTACAGGAGCAGTGTCAAATTTATTTCTGAGAGTGTTTTATAAAAACTAGTCTCAATTAAAAATCAAACCCATGCCTCAAAGCGGCACAGTACCAGCAAGGATTACCAGGTTCCTGTGCAGAGCTGGCAACCCACAGTGTGGTAAACAGCCCTGAGAAGTGAGGGTGGGGGTGAAAACATGACTGACCTGCCTGCACTGCCCAGGAACGAAGCACAAGAAACACAAGAGGAGTTAGGAATGACATGCTCCATTTTAAAAACTCTTTCCAACTCAGTGCAGAGTTTTTGATGAGAAAGTAACAGGTTTAAAGAAAATAGAGTCAATTTTTAAGTGTCTTTCTCCTTCTTCTTCTAAAGAATTAACTCAGGCTGGCAGGCCAGGCTGTCTGAGGCACTGCGGTAATGACAACACGAGCAAGACAGCCTCAGTAGGACTGTCAAAAGCTCCAAGGCACGACAGGACTTTTTTGGTGGCAAAACACTTCTGAAATTGAAGACCCTACAGCTCTCAGTAGAAACAGCACGACTTCAGCTCTGAAATCACACCGGCATTTCAGCAAAAGCTGACTTCTGGATTTGCTTTTTCAGAAATGGCTACTAATTTTGGCATTACCCATTTCAGAGATGCAGCTGGTTGAGTCTCAATGGCCAGGTTTAAACAACACAGACCACGACACAGAGCATCCCTCGGCGGAGAACGAACTCATCCCTTGCTCTCTTCAACACCAATATTGTGAAACCCACATTCAGTGCTTTCTCTTTATGCCACCTCGAAGAGCCGACATTATCCAAATGTTTTGTTTTCATTTTTAAAAGGGCAGAATCATATCACAGAGGAAGAGCTGGGAGGATTTTCCCAGCAACCTGTCATAGTGTGTCGGCTGGAAGAGCAGTAAGGGAAAGGTCCTCTGTTGGACCATGTTCATTTAGAACGAAAGTGAAGGATTGATTTCCGATCTCCTGTTAGAGTGTTCCAGCACCCAATCTCATTTATCTTCATACTGCAGCCATTTGTAAGAGCATATACTACATTTGCACAAAACGCCCAGCAGCAAAGCAGAATAGAACAAAAGAATAATAACCAAGGGAAAAGGCTGACGTTAACAGGCACAAATTGCCTTTAAACTCATGATTTCAGAAAGAACTTTTTGGAATCCTTTGTTTCTTCAGCAAAAGATGGGTCAGATCTGAAGCATTTAGTGAAAATCCACAGACTCCTACTTGCCTAGTGTGAGTTTTGTTCAACCCTTTGATGATCTAATTGCTCTAGAGATGTCAGGTAATTTGATTTTCCTCATCTGTCAGGCCTTGGAGGGAAATGGCCCATCCCAGATAAGCAGGACTGGGACAATACAGCTTTCTACAACCTGGCTCATGGTGACACCATCACTGTTAGCCAGATGCTCAAGACTTGCAGAAAAAAGGTAAAACAAAGGCCCCTGCAAGAGATGACTACATGTGCACGTGGGAGGAGAATCTGCAGAGCTTAACAAGATAAGGTAATTTGAAAGCTTTTATCCAATTTGAGTACACAAAGGCAGCCAGCTGGGCCATGGAGTGGTGAGCATTATCCCACCAGGAGCTGCAGGACACACACAACACCATGCCCCTACTGCAAAAGCATCACCCTGCCACAGGACACACAGGCCAGCACACAGCCAGGAGGATTGAAAACTTCACAGCAAGCTTCTTTGAGTGTTTCTTTACTAACCAAAGTGTCTCCTTGAGCAGACAGCCCTATCACAGAAGTGAACAAGAGCACAGCTTCAGCAGCTTATTCAGAAATCACCTACCAAACTCACACCAACTCAAAACAGAACAACGATGACAATACAAGAGATGACACCCTGGGCCCATGGGATTCAAGTGCAAATTGGAGCCCTGGTTTCACCCTTGGGGTTCACAGAGGGAAATTCACCCCTGGGTTGAGAAGCAGCAGAAGGGCTCCTCACACCCCATTACAGGGACATGGGGGTGAATTTCCCTTTCTCCTTAAGACTGCAGAGCCAGGAGCTGAACCCAGGTCTGGGCTTGGCAAGCCAGGAACGGCAGAGGCAGCACACATTTCTTCAGCCCTAGTGAGCACTTCGTGTGTTCCTTCCAACAAACATGGGTCTGGACCCCGCAGCAGCACCGCGCAGCACGGCACTCCTCTCCGAGCAGCACCCCAACGTGCGCATCAGTCAGCAGAATGGGAAACCAGACCAAATCAAACCAGTGAGGCAAGGAGGACAGGCAGGCATTTTCCTAGATGCCATCGTGTTGCTAATGCCTGTGCAAGAGACGGCATCATAAAGTCACCACTGGCAGCAGCTGCTGTCTGGAGTGAGGTCTACAGGAGAGGGCAAGGGGAGAATGTTGGATCCAGGCAAAGCAGCTCCATCTTCACCTTCATCAGCGTCGCGTTCTGGTGTGGACACGCCGTTTGCCTTCAAAATATACAAAGACAAAAGTTTTGTTTGGAAAGAAGTGAAGGGGAACGACTTGACAAAGTTATTTTACATTGCTTTTGCATGCTCAGTGCCATTTTAAGAGCTTCCAAAAAATAATAATGAAGAGAACGTCTGTGCATCATTACTCCACACTTTGTCAGCAGTCAGGGCCCATTAAACTTTATTAAAGAAAAGGCAGGGGAAAGAAATGGGGAAAGAAGGAGAAAGAAGGAGTTGTACTGCTAGAACTGATCCTCCGGTACATGCGTCCCTCAAAGGGACAAGTCAGACAGAAAGCCAAACCTCAGCTCTCAGAGGTTTCCAAACCAGGAGGCAGCATCCATGTGCCACAGAGCTGGTCCTCCATGTGATCCTGCTGCCCTCCATGTGCCTGGGCCATGGACAGGAGACACAGCAGAACGTAGCCCTTGTCTGTGGTTGGGGATGGGTGCAGGACAGCAACGTGCTGCTGCAGAAGGCACTGGCTCACGTTGACTAAAGAAACCTGAGCTAACCACTTCAGGGTCTGCTGGGACATGCTGCTTCCAGCGCACGAGGTGAAACACGGGCCTGGCAACGCGGAGAGCTCTGAGGCAGTGGTGGGTCAGTACTAACTTCTCTCTCCTTTCTCTGAACTGAAGGGGACACAAATTATGTTGACTGCTGGAGAAAGGACAAGGGATGTTTCCAGTCACTGCGTTCATGGAAATGTTCATAGCATGGGGAGTCCTGCAAAGTCCTCCCACCAGCTACTGGCTGATGTCCCAGTTGAAAGAAAACCTCCAGAGCCATAAAACTTCTCAGTGTGTTTACAGAGGCTCCAAAATCCAGACTTTTAACTTCTATACTACTGACTTCCCATGCTCTTTCCTTTATGCTTTGTTTTGAAAGATTACATCAACTACTGCCCTCAGCGCTTTGTGAAAAATGCTGAATAGAAAGTTGGAAGCGTGAGGAGTAAACGCATTGCAAAGGGCACAGACTAAGTCTAAGGACGTGGGGCAGGAGGCCAGACAGGCTGTTTGATCAAAGACCACAGCACAGACCTCTGCAATGTGAAAGAAGGCACAAAAATAGGAGTTTCATCTTCAGCAGCAGACTTGTTTCCAAATATATTGAGTGAAAGAGGCAATAGAATGAGTCTTTGTCATTCCTCTATTTTCAAGGAAAAGGTCTTCAATTTAAAACTCCATAAAGAAATACAGAAATAGTGAAAGTAATTTACTTTTGAGGTACTTGAGCCTTTATTCACTTAACTTCAAGGTGGACTCAAAAGAGTCGAAAATGTTTTGGTTCTACCACTTGAGGACGAAAATATTTTAATTCCTTAAAATATGGAAGGGGCATCTGCTTCTTCTGAGGTTCACATTTACAAACGCATTGTATCTAGAATGCAAACCTTGAATCATTCTCTAATGCTGCCACTACCCAGAGACATGTTTTATTTATAAATACAGCAGGACCACTCGGTGCTCTGCAGTACCAATACGAGGAGGCAGAGACAGCTCAAAGCTTCTCAGCCGTGAAGGCACAATTCAATTTTTTCACTTTGTGGAAGAGGGACAAGTCATCCTCCTTGGCAGCAGGAAAACTCAATCCTGTGGCTGAGGCAGCAAGCTCTGAGCAAAGGGAGGCAAAGAGCAGAGCCCAAAGATGGATGAGGCAGCCAGTGCAGGAGGCAGAGGTTGGAAGGGAGAGGCTGGGTGTGGGTGAGGGTCTCTGATCCCCCTTCTTTCCTATCCTGTGCCCTCAGTGCAGGCAGAGGCCGAAGGCGGAGGGAGGAAGAGCAGGGGTTGTGAGCACAGCTTCCCCACGCAGTTGCCCACCTATTCCGCCCCGATCCAACGCCAGCCCTGGAAGTCCACGCTGTTTGACTGTAGCTCCCACGGATATGGGAGCGAGCAGTCTGAAAACATTTAAGCCTCTTTCTCACCAAACGCAGGAAAACAAAAGTCACCTCCCCAAAGACTGCCATGAAGAAAGTCATTATAGAAATTACTATCCTGTTTGGAGCCTAATTACTGTTAGGACAATTTTTTTTCCTTCATGGAACGGAGTAGTTGGACCCACTGAAGCAAAATGTTACCTCTTCATCATCCCTGAGGGAGCAAAACAGACATCTGAGAAAGAACGGAAGGAAAAAAAGAAGTTAATGCTTTAACTTCAAAGATGCCCTGAGAATTTCCTGCCACGAAAAACATGCAGAATGGCTCTGCCTGTCTCACGTATTAACAGCTTGTATATTTATGAGCAAAAGTTGATGCCTACTCCAGCCAGGGAGGCACTGAGCCATGGACAGAGTGACACCACCTCATTTCTAAATCCAGTCAATTCCTGAAAGACAGGGCATAAATCTCCCCAAATTACAAGAGCTGGAAGCAGCATTTCACAGAATCACAGAATGTCAGGGATTGGAAGGGATCTCAAAGGATCACCTAGTCCAATCCCTCTGCCAGAGCAGGACCACCTAGATCAGATCACACAAGAACGCATCCAGGTGGGTTTTGAACGTCTCCAGAGAAGGAGACTCCACAACCTCTCTGGGCAGCCTGTAAACCTCTGCCCACCTCTCAGCTCCAGGCCCTTTGCTCAGCTTTGCTCAGCCTCTCCCAGCGTTACAGCTACCAAGCAGGCAGCCAAAGGGAGGTATCCAGAAGCTACGGCTTCAGCATCCTGGGAGAAGCGTCCAGGCTGGACCTGCTGCCTTCTGGAGGTCTTTCCAGCTGGTCTCACCCTGCGACTGCAAGCCACAACATTTCTTAGACCCCACCAGGTGTTGCCATCATTGCCTCAGCTCCCAGATTCAGCAACCCCACTGTTTAACATGGCTGTTTAACTGCCAGCTGCTGTACCACTCTTTAAATATTAATGATTTAGACAACACATTGGCAAACAAGCAGAGATGGGGAGACTCTGATTTGCACTCAGACGTATGCTACTTATTCATTAGCTTATTTTGTGGCTCCTTCTCAAACCTCCTCTTCTAAGCACAAATGAGAGCATTCTCCAGCCCCACAGCCCATGTCAAGCTCACTCACTGCTCCATACCAGCAAGCTGTTCAGGTGACACACAGAATACCAAACAGGATTGATCCGTTCCCCAGACAAGGTCCTCAGAAGACACTGAGGACCCACCACAGTAGAACCAGTGACTGCTCTAAGGAGAGATGTCTTTTTCTCTTAATTTACCCCCTGCAGTAGCCAGGTCCAAGCTCAAAGTTGTTATCTCCATTAAAAGCTCTCCATGGGCTAATGAAAACCAGTGTAAGATATTGATGATTTCTTTGTTTAATTCTTTTTAATGTTCCCTTTCTTTAATAAAAATGTCATAGTTAACAACAGTGAGGATTTTGCTCTTTTTTAACTGAGGCACCTCCTTAACATACCAGCTGCGCAGCCACAACAAGGTGAGTCACCTCCCTAGCTGGGGGCAAGTAAGGGGGGAAAAAACGATTGTGCTTCTTTCCTGTGTGCAAATTTCCTTCTCTTTAGGATAAAACATTCTCCAGGAAAACCAGCACATGACCCTCCTCTTAACAGCTATCACGTTAGAGCGGGCACCTCCAGGAACCGGAGCTTCAGAAGAAGAAGAAACACCAGATCCTCAGAAAACGATGTTTTTGAAAGGGCTTGAAAGCCAGTGGTAAAAAATAAAAAAGAACTGGCAGCCTCTCAACTCACCACTCTCCTCTGCAACTTCGGCTCATGGGCTGAGGTTGCCTAAATCCCAAAGCAGCTCTGACAATGAGTCATTTTATGACAAACCCCAGGCTTCATTATCCGCCTCACCAAACCCCAGCCGGAGCTGGAGCAACACACTGGAAACCTACAAACTCTTCTTAATAGCTCCTTGTTTTCCCTCGGCTGCACAACCATGTTGTCGTCTTGGCCTTCAGGCTTAAGGAGCTAAGAACTGTGAGAGCAGCTGCATTTGCAGTACCACTCCCTAATTCCCTGTTTGGCTGTGGCCTGGGATTTACGGATGCTAAAGCATTCTGCAAAGTCGCACTTGAGAGCGGAATTAGAGTAGAAGTGAGAAAAAGTGAAAAGAAAGTCACCGGTAGAACAACACCTGAGGTGCTAATATAAAGCAAAAATTGCTCTGAACACAGTGTTATGAAGTTTCAAAGCCTTTCAGAAAAGCTATAGCAAACCTCTCTAACGTCCCCCAGCAACTGGGGCTCAGCAGTTCAAACGAGGAAGGATCTTTGCCCCTCGCTCTGCTTTTGGGTCACAGCAGAGCTCAGGGATTGTCCCACAGGCAGGGACACGCAGTGAAGAGTTTTGCCAGTCTTGACATACAGCATCCATCACCTCCACTGCTCTTCAAAGAGATGAAGCAGCAGAACAGCCTCAGCTTTTTGGCAAACAGTGGCATCCAAAGGGATTCATCATGAAAAGCCCCTCCCAGGCAGACGAAGCTGTAACCTAAATAAAGTGGGGAGAGGCACTGCCACTTGCCCCAAGGCTCCCACCATTTGCATGCCCCACACCTCCAGCATGCCCAAGCACATGAGCCCCTCTGCAGAGCAGGAGACTTCCTAGGGAACTACAGGGCTGGTTCTGCACTTCTCTTTATTTCCTGATCTTGCCAGGCTGCTGGCCCGGGGGCATTCGGTATTGCAGCCTCCTGGAGGTCTGAGCTGGTGGAGCCACCTGCTACGGAGCTGTGCAGAAAATGAGGTGACGCGAGTCGTATCGCTGCGTAACGCTGATTAACTCGTACGTAATGGATCGTGATTGCCAACAGTTCGCCGCCCAGATCACATCACGGCAGTGTCTCTCCAGCTGGGCACACTAAGAGCTCTCAGAGTAACTGAACACCGACCGTGCTCACCCCTGCTGCTCGCTCGCTGCACGGAGACAAGGCCACATCCCAAACACACCGGAGGGAAAACAAAGTTACTCTCCCTCTCTCCTCTGCACCTTGAAGATCTGAAGATGCCCCACACGGTGGGACAGAGCATTCAGCTGTAGCAAACACAACATGGGCACATCACATGCCTCCCACAACATGCTCAGGTTCCAGCTTCGCCTCCTTGCAGAGACCTTTGGTAGAGTCTCAGACACCAGCCCTCACCAGCACCCACGTTGCAGAAAGGAGCATGAGGTCTAACGCCAGCACAGGACAGGCTCGAAGACAGGCCAGGGGCTCTGTTGCCCGTCCTGCCACTCGCTGTGGCCACAGAGCCATAGCCATAGTGCCACCTAACTCCCTGCCAGCCCACAGCAGCTCCCTGGCCCACGGGGATGCCCGGCTGGTGGCTGGTTCCCTGACATGACATAACACAGAGAACCTGCCTGCTGTCACCCTCCATCGGTTCCTGTGCCTACCGACCGCAACCACCACCAGCTGCGTTCCCCTCCCGGCACACGTGAGCAGAAATACTCCCTGCCATCTCCCTGCATCCCTCGCCCGGCTCTGGGGGCTGCAGAACCCTCCTGCCAAGGCGCTCGCTGCTGCACGTACCAGGTCTGAACAAAGCAGCCCCTTCTGCAGGAAGACTGGGAAATAAATGACCCCAGACATAAAGATCTTCACAGATATTCTCTAGTCAGCCAACCTGGCTTAACCTTTTCCATAGCAGGATCCTCTCTACATCTCAGGGACTATTTTAACTGGGCTCATGAGATTATTACAGTTTTCATTTTTTTTAAACATACGTTTAAATGATGCTGCCCATCATTTTTAGCTCTGCGCTGCCTAGAAAGGAGAAATCTCACTGAAAAGTGTTGACCCTTTGTGCCAAGTTTTGCATACACGTTTTTTAGCAAGAAAAAGGCATTTTCAGCCTCTCACATATTTGTTTGCACTGTCATGGCCAGGCAGCAGTTAGTTCAAATAGCTGGAAGGAAAGCTCCGATGTGCCAAGTGCTGTACAAACACACCATCCAGGGGTGTGCATCCATCCAGACCTCAGCATGGCCATGTAGCACCGGCAGAAAAAGCACCCAAGGCGTCACACCCACTATTCACCACCACCCACTTCAATCCCGCAGAACAACCTGCTGCTCCGCTCCGGTAGGCGTCAGAGCCAACACACAACGGGAATCAGTCGTCTCCAATGCCACAGTCAACAGGGGCTTAAAATAAACTGCCCAGTCTGGGGCAGCACTATAATCCAGCGAGAGGACAGACAGAGCAGAAGTATTACTCATCTGATTTGCTTTGTGAAAACTAAAATTAAAGAAAACTGCAAATCCCTGGAACTTGGGAAGGGAGGGAAGAGCAAAGAAACAATTTTATGTTGGCTATTTCTAGCGGAGAAGGTCTATGGCTCCATGTTGCACTAAAGGATAAACCTGCTCTCTCTAATCCAATTTACGCCTCAACATGCATAGCACAAAACAGGCTCCGGAACAAAAGGAGTTCACGGGGCGGCAGGAACGCTCTGGAGGGAGCAGCACGAAACGATAACTTAAGGAGTTATTGAATAGATTAGCAGGAACTGCAGAGAGAACACATTTGCATCTCTTTCAGCTGCTCCAGATCAGATGTGATAGCAGCCTCTGCTCTCACAGTCACTTAATTGTTCCAAGGTTGTTGAGGGGGAAAAAGTGTCTCTTTTTGCACTGCAGAGTTCTGGGAAGAGCCGTGCGTGGCTTTAAGAGCCATCTAACATTAGGAAAATTTTTATTCAGTCTCATAAAGCTGCTCGACTTCTGCTTTGCTTCAGTAAAAGCTCAGTCTGGTCTGCTGCCTCTGCAGGGCAGAAAGGAGCTCGGGCCTTTGCAGGGGACAGACCCAGGCTACGGCTGCTCTTGGTGGTGGGTGCAGGCAGCTCCCACCCCACACAATTGCTCATGTTGCAGAATGGATTCTGCACTTGGGGAAGAGGGAAGGAGTGAGCTGTAATGCTGTGACAGCATCTGCCATGAGAAAAGCAGCAGGGAAAGGCGATCCCGGGCCACAGCTTTGCCAGGTGTGCCTCTGAGAAAGCTGTGCTTCGAGGGAAGTCAGCCCCAAAAGCATGGATCTGCCCAGAGAGGAGGTTCAGCTCACCAGTGACTCTGCTGCCAACATCACTGTCGCGCCCATCGGCCGGCTGGTCGCTCTGGCAGCTCTCCGTGGCGCTGAGGGCAGCCCCCTGCTCGCTGCACAGGCTGCTGCGGAGGGGAGTGGGTGCTCCCCAGCACCCTGCCCATGGCCTGGCTGGGCTCCCTGATGGGTGCTGCTGGGACACAAAAAAGAGATGCTGCTGAGGGAGAAGTGGGTGCATATGATGGTCCTGCGAGAGCAGCAGCCTCACCCCTCCCAGCCAATCACCCTCAGGACCAGTGTGAAAACCCAGTTCCCACACTCTGCTCCTAAAATGGCATCAGCGATTCCTGTGCTACAAAGTCAGGAGTGAGGAGCAGGCTGGAGACATGCTGCCGGGTGGCGGGGAGCAGCTTCCAACTGCAAGGGCAGACCCTGAAAGGCTGCAGGCAAGGGAGCAACCCACCACCAGTTTGACCCACTGATTCCAGTGAGAAAGGATCAGATCCTCACCTGGCACAGCTAAAGCCAGTGGGCTGCACCAGCATAGGGCAGGCAAGTGGCTGAGCCAAAACCCACAGTACCAAGAGCCAAACGTTCAAGCAGTTTACACTTCCCACCCTCCAGCCACAAGAAACAGCAACTCCTCACCCAGTCCTGCTCGGTGCTTTCTGCCTTGTGAGCCTTTTGGCTTTGCAGGTAAAGGCTTGTCATCCAGGCTGGAGGAGCTAAACTCCGAGTCACTCTCACTGTCACTAGAAACCACTGCAGAAAAGATCAGGGGGAGGAGAGGAGAGAGACAGTTATTCACAATGTTCATAACACTTACCAAAGAGGGTGCCAGATGGATCCAAATAAAACATGAACAAATGCTGACTTGCTGATCACGTTCTCCCTCTCTGAAAGGAGCCTTACCTGCAGTTCCCCCACAGCTGTTCACTCTTCCTCTCAAACATGATGTGCTTTTACTTTTTACAGATGATTTATAACTCCGCCGCACACACTCTAGTGGTGCCAGCACCTGAAGCAGATGCACACACCACCAGTGCTTCTCTCCCAAAACTGACTGGGACCATGGGGATCACACTGCTCCTGCACAGCACTCTGCTGCCCAAAGCTCCCTGCCACAAAGCCGAGAGCCCTACGGCATGGCTGGTCTGGGAGCTGGGTTCTGCTCCTGCTGACCCCCATGCTGGCACGCCAGCGAGCCCCCTCCTCATGCTGTCTGCCATCTCCCACGTGGGAGCAACATGCTAAGGGCTGGGCTGGGTGCGAGGCTGGTTCCTGCTCAGCTGCAGGTGGAGGGGTCTCAGCTCCACCATAAGAGCATCCACATTTGAGAAATGTGGGGAGAGAGGCTGGATTCCTCCAAGCTACATTTCAAATGTGGCCTCTGTGGAGGCTCCAGAATCTATGAGGAAAACACCAGATAGATACCAAGCATATCAAAACCCTGCAGCAATTACACAAAGAACCAGCCTTACTAGCTCATCGTCCATTCAGCAGATGCTCATCTCTATCAGTATGCTGCCCAGAACTATATTACTCCTGTGCCCCCAAGGCTTAAAAGGCAAGAGTCGCTCCTCTTTCTCAAGGAGACTCTTCTCCCATTTCAAGGCCACTTTTTTTCCCTTCTTTCTTTTCCAACCTGAATCCTGGCACTAGTCCTGCTTCTTTCCACCCTCCACAGTTTCCACAAGAGCTGAAGGAGCCTCATTTTACTAGACACAACTTCCCAAATTGGCAGGTTGTTTCCACTTTTCCATGCAATTATGCAAGTACCTCTCCTGCTTATACCAGTGTAAAAGATAATTCAACTGCCAGCTGCTCTGGGTAAAATGAGAAAGGTGTTTTTCCGTCTCCTGGGCTTTTGTAATAGCCTGATCTCAGAATAGAAATGATGGGGCTGAAGAAGGTGGTAACAGGAGAATAGCTGTCTTGTTTGAGGGATTGCACCTACAGCGTTTGTCCGTCTGACCAAGGCAGATACCAGATTTCTTGGCAGCTCAGAAGCCATTTCAAACAGTGGGTCTAAATTCCTGGTGGAAAGTACAACATCATGTGGGACACAGAGCAGGCGACACTGCAACCTACAGCCTTTACTGTAGAAAAAGGAACTCCCAACTATTTCTTTATATTCATCAGTACATACTTATAAGCTCACATACATGAGAAATGAATTCCCCATTCTGCTGCTGAACAAACCTCTTTGCTCCCTCACCGTTACCGGGAGCGCCCAGCCTCATGGTGCTGCCGGGTGCAGGAGGGACGTGGGTGTGCTGGTACAAGGTGACAACCACGGGGTAGCAATGAGAGCTGTCAGCTCATCACTACATCAGCGCTAATATTCACTACACGTGGTTCACAGAGCTGCAAACCCTTTAACACTGCCCAAGGCAGGAGGACAGGTATCCCTTCCCTCGCACAAGCTGTCAAACATTTCTGCCAAGGACCGCTACAGACACTCCTGTATTCAGGCAGCGATCTGTACTACACAAAATATTTTATTTAAAAAAAAAAATTAATACCTAAAATAGCGCTTTTCTGGAGTTAACATCTCTGAGGATATTAAAGCTGGCTGCCAGTGTTATTGCAAAACGTTATTGAAGTTGCCCCGGCAGGCAGCTCCCCACGCACGACGCGCTGCTGGGAAGCGCCGTGCAGAAGGCAGGCTGCCAGGCTCCCTCCGTGCTGCCCGCGCAGCCTTCACCCGGGCACCAGCTCCTCCTGCACCCGCAGCCTGCCCGGGGCCGGCCCTTCCTCTCCCAGTCTGCCAACACCATCAGAAACGGGACTTCCCACCTGCAGGGAATGGGGCTGCGGAGCTGAGCCAGGCAGGGAGCGAAGCTGCGTTACAAGCAGAGGGGCTGCACTTCTGGCTACGAGTTCTCAAAGGAAAGGTTTGGTTTGGGGTTTTGCTGTCTAAAAGACAGCTTCCCTACTTCCCCAAAGCTCCCTGGGAGAGGTGAGGGACTCTATAGAAATGCTGTTAATAACAACTCATACCTACCAGGCTCTCGGCCACAAAATCCAAATCTCAGCTCTGAGAATCAGTCTGACTGCCCAATTCCCTCAGCAAATGCACTCCTGTCCCACTTGGTCATCATCCTTTTCTGGCCTCTTGGATTCACAAAATCCATCACTTTAGAACAGCTCCTTCCTCCATGAATCCTTTAAAAATGCTGGAAGTCAGGATTTATTTGGAGAAGGCTCCAGTGAATCAGTGGAGGTGACTTTAGCTGCCTTCCCTTCTGCCATTCAGCAGATCAGAGAGGACCAGCACAAGAGGACGAAAATATTAATGACATGAACGCACTTATACGGCAGGAGCA